TAGCAGGAGCCAGTTCAGCCCCCAGCCATCCAGGTTAGGCTCAGGAACCTACTTGGGCTTCCTGCTACCAATTCCCCCGCCTCTACCAGCCACCTGCCACCTCAGCCCGCAAAAGGGATAAACGCCACTGTCAGGAGAACGATGATTCCCTCATCGACTCCCTGACCGCCGCAAGGAAAGAACCCATTCAATCTGATCTTGCAGCAACAGGTTGAACATGTCAAGACCCACATAATTAAGATGGACCCCATCTGACCGAAAATAACAATGCCTGCCTTCCAACTCTACATGATGAGCCACCAAGCCATTCCAGGAAGCAGTAAAATTAGAGATAGCCCTGCTAACCTTAATACGCGCCTTGCCAAGGGAACTGACATCCCTGGACTGGCGCCAGACAAAACGTGGAATAATCTCCGACCATACCAATAGAACATTAGGATGGTCATCCAAAAAGGCCACACATTGCATAGCCAAAATAAGGGCACAGAAGGGGACAACCCCAAGGTTATTCCCCCCGATATGTAGAAGCAAAATGTCCAGAGGTCCCTCCAGTGCCACGTGATTTCGAAGCAAGGAGAGAACCTCAGCCCAAAGCAGTCCTCGAATTCCCAACCACATCAATTTGAGTTGGACCACCAAGAAACCTAGTTGCAGACCTTTACGGCAAAACTCTGCCTAAATGAGCCACCCAGAAAATAAAGGAATGACGGATGATAGAGGCCACAAGCCACCGCTGACCTAAAAGAAATAAGACAAACAAAGAAAAAAAAAAAGAAAACCAACATAGCAGCAGGAGGTGTAAAAAATACAACACACAAGATAGAGGGAAAAACCCAATGCATCAGAAATGTACCAAGCTGTCCACATACCTAGGTAAGATTTCCAATCTGTGAGTCCTCACATATGTGTGATAGTAACTCGACTCCCACCTGCCAATCTTCTGAATTGCATCCCTGGCCATACCCAACCTAGCAGCCTCCATGGCCGCACCAATACGGAATGAGTGAGTCCCATAATCGGACGTCGACAGCCTGAGTGCAATGATGAAGGAGACACGTGAATTGGAAGTGAGAGAGGAAAACACCATCCTCATACAAAACGATGGGCCCCCCAACTCAAGATCGAATCACCAAAAATGCAGTCAAACAAGCAACAGGACACATCACACAACCAGGCAGGGCAAATAAAGGAATAGCCACACCCTGATGCAGCTGATCAGTCTTTGAAGAACGCAGGATGATCTCAATACTAAATAATTATAATGAAATGATGCTCCCCTGAAATAAATTATTTGCTCTTACTAATTAATTATTATCTGTGTCACATAAAATAAACAATAATAAATCTATATAGTGATAAATTATATTTAAATCCACTTTCATTATTATTCTTAATTTAAATTAATTCAATTAAATTCAATTATATGTAAGATAATATATATAAGTGAAAGAATATATAAATGTGTAATAATAAATATATAAAAAAATGTCCAAAAGTTGATTTATGTATTCAACACATTGTTTGGGTCTTTGCTTCAATTTTGACATTCATATGCGTTAATACTAGGCAAACAGAGCTTTAAATCCAATTGGATGATGACTTTTACTCAATTCTGTGGTTGAATCCTTCAGGATGAGATGGACTATGTATATCCCCTGTGTTCTTCCTGGATTAATCACTGCTAGTGTGCTGGTATAAGTATTAGGATCTCTCCCTTCTTACACTGCAGGATTTTTTCTCCATCCCTCTGCCCCCTCTCCTCGTTATAGCAGTAAAAAAAAAGAAAAAGGTATATAGTGCCTTATTGTTTTTTTTTAAAAGGTTTATTTAGTGCCCCTTTAGTAGATGCACTCACATGGTATACAATTATAATGTGCCTTGTATATAATAAAAATCACTCAATGCAAATATAACAAGCCTCCTCTGTGTGTCTTCCCCACACAGGCTATACTCGCAGTGTGAAGCTGGGTACGTGTGACGTCAAAGCCCCTCCCCTGCGCGTTGCGCCACAGGGTCACATGGTTTCATCAGGGGGATGTGATAGGACAATCACCTTGCCCATACTTCTTATATAGTTGCTCGGCGCCATTAATGGGATTTTGAAACTCTAACCTGCGTTTAGGATAATTTTTTGTTCTCCTGAAGCTAGAACACTTACCACATGGATAGAATCCAATTCCTTGGAAGAAGCTAAGTTTAGTGCTTGTATCTGGTGTTTCCAGGATATTTTTGACTACTTTATCTCGTATATTAGGTGCTTTTTTATATATAAACCTAGGTTTATCTTGGATGATGTTTTTCAAATCTTTGTCCAATTTAAGTACCTCCCAATGTTTATTTACTATATTTTGTATAAATTGTTTGTTGAATGGCAATACCATTGATATATTGGTATTTTCAATATTAACCCTTTGAATATTTTCCAACAGAATTTTTCTATCTAATATTTCAATCTGTTTTTGCTCTTGCTCTATTACTTCTCTATTGTACCCTTTATCTATAAATCTTTTTGTCAAAATATTGCTTTGTTCTATATAGTCTATTATATTAGTGCAATTCCTTCTCAAATGCATGAATTGTCCTCTTGGGATGTTTTTCATCCAAGGTTTATAATGGCAACTGTTGGTTGGTATGTATGCGTTTCTATCTGTTTTCTTGAAATAAGTTTTTGTGTACAGTATATATGGGATCCATTGTTTATCAACCATATATCCAAAAATGTACCTCCTTATTATTTATGTTCCTATCAATGAGAAAGGAGCAGAGGAATGAAGAAAAAATCCTGCAGTGTAAGGAGGGAGAGATCCTAATACTTATACCAGCACACTAGCAGTGATTAATCCAGGAAGAACACAGGGGATATACATAGTCCATCTCATCCTGAAGGATCCAACCACAGAATTGAGTAAAAGTCATCATCCAATTGGATTTAAAGCTCTGTTTGCCTAGTATTAGGCTTACATGAAGGTTAGCGCATATGAAAGTCAAAATTGAAGCAAAGACCCAAACAACGTGTCAAATACATAAATCAACTTTTGGACTTTTTTTTTTATATATTTATAATTGCACATTTATATATTGTTTCACTTATATATATTATCTCACATATAATTGAATTTAATTAATTTATTTAAATTAAGAATAATAATGAAAGTGGATTTAAATATAATTTATTAATTTATCACTATATAGATTTATTATTTTTTATTTTATGTGACACAGAAAATAATTAATTAGTAAGAGCAAATAATTTATTTCAGGTGCACGGCATTTCATTATAATTATTTAGAATAATTCAGTTACATTATATATATTAATGAGGATGTGATTAAGTGCCAGCGAACCACATAAGAAAATAGAGTTTATTGTTTTGCTTGTGGCTCACAAGTAATTTACACATATGATCTCAATACTATTGTCCTTCCGTTGGACATCATCCACTAGGAGCCCCCCAGCTGTCCATTTGTTGGGGCTAACCAATTCACTAATGTGGAAGGCACCAAAGAACGCCAGGGAAAAACAAACTCAAAGAGAGACACTTCATAAGGGGAATAACATAAATGAGGTAGAACCGTTATCATATTACGCAAAATGTCCCAGGAAAGTGGCTGTCGGTGATCCGCACACGTCCGCAGCCTCCTACACCCTTTCAGTGCCTGGCAAACTATGAACAACTTAGTGTAGTCAGGCCATCCCTACAATTTAAACAGAAAGGCCAATGCCACTAACTTCCTGTCAATAGCTGCAGGCAATTCACCACATTTTACTGAATATTGATACTGATGTACAGTAGTTGTTGCACAAAAATACATGAACAATGTATTCCAACAACAAAAAAGGGAGCTGTAAGCAGAAGGCTCCTTCTCTACAGTGGGGATAGAATTACCTGCTTTGTTTTCATTTCTATCGGGAAGTCATTCTATTAACAGAATCTGTGAAAGAAGCCCACTAGGTGTTTGAGAGATTGAAGTACATTTGTAAGGCTATAGTGGCCCAGAGATTGCTTGCTCCTAAATATATTTCAAATGCTGTGCAGATTTTGGGTTTTGTTCTTAAGTAAGTTACAGTTATTAAAGTAGATTTACTGTAGACCTAATTACTAAACCCTCACATATTGTTTAAGTCATGAAAGTCCTTCTTTAACCACTAGCCTACTGGGCACTTATACCCCCTTCCTGCCAAGGCCAATTTCCAGCTTTCACCGCTGTCACACTTTGAATGACAATTGCGCGGTCATGCAACACTGTACCCATATGAAATTTTTATCATTTTTTTGTGACAGACAGAGCTTTATTTTGTGGTGGTATTTAATTGCCTCTGGGTTTTTTATTTTTTCTTAAACAAACCAAAAACCACAGAAAATTTTGAAAAAAAAAAGTTTTTTCTTAGTTTTTGTTATACAATTTTGTAAATGAGTGATTTTTTTCCTTCACTGATGTGCACTAATGAGGCTGCAGTGTGGGCACTGATAGGCTGCACTGATGGACATTGATAGGTGGCACTGATGGGCACTGATGAGGAGGCACTGGTAGGTGGCATTGATGGGCATTGACAGGCGTCACTGATGAGCACCGAAAGGCAGCACTGATACATGGTACTGATATATGGCACTGTTAGGCGGGCACTGACTGGCACTGTTAGGCGGCACTGACTGACACTGTTAGGAGGCACTGACTGGCACTGATGGGTGGCACTGATGCACACTGATAGGTGGCACTGACGGGCACTGATGAGGAGGCACTGGTAGGTGGCACTGATGGGCATTGACAGGCATCACTGATGAGCACCGAAAGGCAGCACTGATACATGGTACTGATATATGGCACTGTTAGGCGGCACTGACTGGCACTGTTAGGCGGCACTGACTGACACTGTTAGGAGGCACTGACTGGCACTGATAGGTGCCACTGATGCACACTGATAGGTGGCACTGACTGGCACTGATAGGCGGCACTGACTGGCACTGATAGGTGGCACTGATTGGCAGCACTGATAGGTGGCACTGATTGGCATTGATAGGTGGCACTGACTGACACTGAAAGGCAGCTCAGATGGGCACTGATATGTGGCATTGATGTGCACTGGTATGCACTGATATGTGGCATTGATGTTGCACTGATGGACACTGGCACAAGGCACTGATCGGCACTGACAGCTGGCACTGATGGACTTTGACAGGTGGCACTGCTGGGGCTACACTGATCATCAGGGCACACTGATCATCAGTGCCCTGATGATCAGTATACATGTCCCGTCCCCGGAAAGTCGATTACCGGCTCTCCTCTCGAGCTGTCAGCGTGACAGCTCGAGAGGAGAGAAATGCCGATAACTGGCATTTCCGTGTTTACATGTGATCAGCTGTGATTGGACACAGCTGATCACATGACCGAGCCGACATCTTTGGCTCTTTTCGTGATTGGTCATCCGCTGTGTCTGAGGGACACAGCGCACCACCGATCGCCGCGTGCTCCCTGAGCCGCGCATGCGCAGTGAGAATGGGAGGACATCATATGACGTCCTCTCAGAACGAGAGAACCACCTTGCATCCGTCATTGGACTATATGGCGGGCGGGAGGTGGTTAAGCATGTTCCATTATTGCCTGTTGTATCACTTGACCCTTCCTGGTAGATTGTAGGTCTCATGGGGAGGGCCCTCCTGACCCTCTTGTTTTGAATTGTATTGTAACTATACTGTATCCTGGGGCAATGCTTTTTTTCCTGTCTCCCAGTTTCTTTCCTGCATGGTCTCCAGCTTCTTTAAGCCATCTTAAGTGGCTTAACGAGGCTGGAGGAGGTCACCAACACATAAAGTTAAAAAAAAGGTGAAAAAACTCACAATTATTTGATACACATTGCTTTAGTCAACTAAATATCATCCAGTTAGAGTTTACATCTACTTTAATTTAGGACAAAAATTAAAACCATGGCTTTGATTACCAATTTAAAAAAGTATAAACTCATTATAATTGGTAATGGACATTTTAAGACTTGCAAATGTTTTATGAGAAATGCTTTGAATTCAGCAGAACATTGTATTTTCATTTTTTAGGGAATTGTACATTTGAAATTTTATTTGTATAGCAGACACAAAGCAGACACCAATATTATGACAGATTAGCGCATACTATATAATTTAGTAGAAAACACTACTGATGCCAATGTAACTTTTGTGCCAAGTTTTGGCTTATAGAGTCTTTTTGACAAGTGAATAAAGCCGGCGACTAGCGTCATTCCCCTCTTACTACAAAATACAGTTTTAGAATGGCAGCTTTGTTCAATGTGACAGATAGTCATAACTAGAGATATCAATCTTCTGAATCTGAAACGCCTATGAAAAGCACTCCAAATAGAGATTGATGGTAAAATTAAGCAGTATTGAATTTTCTCAATGTCTCTACTGCACTATGGTCTATTTATGCAAAAAAATAAGATCTCAATGTTCACGACAAAAATGAAAAATAAAGTAAAACACAATAAACCTTGTCAAAGTATTTAATACCCTGGTATCCAACCTACAGTGGGCTTGGCTAGTATACAAAATAATGTTGACTTATGTGTTACTTCAAGCTTGTGAGCTTTGTTAACTTATATAAGGTTACTGTTCACTTATATTAAGCATGACTCAGGTCCTATATACATACCTCCTAACTTTGTGAGATGGGAAAGATTGTCATATTATGGCATGAACAATATGGGCAAATGACATGCCTCTGTCATAACCTCCAGTAACATGACCTTAAGGATTAATGTGAAAAAAATTATTAACTAAAGCATTTTTTTATTTTTACTAATATTTTCCTTTATTGAAATGTATTTTATATTCATTCATTTATTCATATTTATTTTATTTATTATTTTGTAGTATTAGTTATATATTTATTAATGTATTAATATTTATTTATTGTTCCTTTATTATGCTTTTAAAAACAACAAATGTAATAATCTAATTTATTATTATTTATTAATTTATTCATATTTATTATACCTTTATTATGCTTTTAAAAACAACAAATAGAATAATTTAAATGTGGCATAAAATGTTTAGAGCTGTAAATCACTTTTTATAGTTAAATGTTATTGTAGCACCTTCCTAGTTAGCTAAGGGGAGCTAGTTGATTATTTTTTTTTATTAGGAGGCTGAGTGGCAGCCAGGAAAGATAGTCAGAGGGGTCAAATTTGATTCAGGGCTGAGAGGCTCTACAGAGCAGTTCCCTGATACCTCCCCCTGATCTAGAGACTTGGAGAAGTCTCTAGAACTCAGTGGGAAGGGATGAAGAGGAGCTGGTCTGCACTCACAAGGATCCTGGCTAATTTTCAAGCAGGAGGCTCGGTATGGGATCAGGACAGCCCGTAAGAGTGACTGAGCCTGCTCAGTAGCAGGTAGAGTTTGGGTGGAAGACGTGAAAGCAGGAGCTGGAGTGCGGAGCCTGGGAGGAGTGAGAAAAAAAATGAGATCTGCAAAATACTCACTATGTCTCTTTTTAAAATTCCTTGGGGTATCTATTTTCCAAAAATGTTTTTTTTTTTGGGGGGGGGGGGGGGGGGGGGGGTTGGTGCTATCCTGGCATTTCAGGGCCTCAGAAACTGTGATAAGTAGTGAGCTAGTGAAATGAGGAAGTTACGCACCTTCAGGATTTCAAAGTGGTTATTGGATTTCAGGCTCCTGTATGTAGCTGGGCTCCCAAAAAGTCTCACACATGTTGTATCCCCATACTCGGTAGAAGTAGCAGAATGTATTTTGGGGTGTAATTCCACATATACACATGGCTTGTGCGAGAAATATATAATTTAAGTGACAACTTTGTTTAAAAAACAATGTTTTTGTTATTTTCCAAAGACTTGTGGAAAAATAAATCTTCCATGGACTCAATATGCCTCTCAGAATAACGCTTAGGGTGTCTGCTTTCTGAAAAGGGGTCATTTGAGGGTGTTTGTACTGTCCTGGTATTTTAGCACCTCAAGAAATGTGATGAGCAGTCAGAAAGTAAAAGCTGTAAAATTTTATTATCTATACCATAGTTTGTAGACGCTATAACTTTCACACAAAGCAATCAATATATACTTATTGGGATTTTTATTTACCAAAAACATGTAGCAGAAATATATTTTGGCCTAAATTTATGTTGAAATTTGAGTTTTTTGGATATGTTTTATGACAGAAATGAGAAAAATAATGTTTTTTTTCTCCAAAATTTGCAGTCTTTTCTTGTTTATAGCGTGTAAAATAAAAAGTGCACAGGTGATCAAACACCAGCAAAAGAAAGCTCTATTTGTGGGAAAAAAATGACAAATTTAATTTGTGTACAGTATTGCATGACCATGCAATTGTTAGTTAAACTAGTGTAGCGCTGTATAGCAAAAATATGGCGTAAATTGCAGTATCTATACCATAGTAGTTTGTAGATTTTATAACTTTCACACAAAGCAATCAATATACACTTACTGGGATTTTTTTTAACCAAAAACATGTAGCAGAATACATTTTGGCCTAAATTTATGACTAACTTTGAGTTTACTATATATTTTTTATAGTCAAAAGTAAAAAGCTTTTTTCAAAAATTTTTTTTTTATATGTTTATATCATGAAAAATAAAAAGTGCACAGGTGATCAAATGCCACCGAAAGAAAGCTCTGTGTGAAAAAAAGGACATACATTTTGTTTGGGTACAGCATTGCATGACTGCGCAATTACCAGCTGAAATAGTGCAGTGCTGTATAGCAAAAATAGGCCTGGTCAGGAAGGAAGGTAAATCCTCAGGAGGGCAAGTGGTTAAAGTGTTACTAAACCCACAACAGTAAAATCAGTCTGTATATGCAGTAAAGCATGCTTATTATACTCACTGTGGAGGGTTAATCCTCTGCATTGTGTAAAGAGGAGGTTTGATCCTGTCTTCTCTGATCCTTCCCTTCTTCTTATGCCCCCAATCCATCTGCTGATGGAACAGAGCCTTGGAGGCAAGCTGCACATGCTCAGTCTGGTGTGTATTGCTAGAGAGGTTTTTTTTTTTCTTGGGAAAGTGCATGTGATCAGCACAGGGCCAAAAACCACTGTCCAGACAGAGTGTCAGGGGTCCTTCAGCCTCATAGGACAATCAGGGGAGAATGAAAACTCCTTCTAAAAGCTTTAACCAGTGCTCTGCTGGACATTGATAGAAGTCAGAAGACTGCTGGAACTGCTATTGGGAAAAGGTATTTAGCAGTTTATATTTCCTAAAATAATTGCATTTCCATGTCCTGTGTACTATGGGAGACCAGATATAGTGAATGCAGGGTCCTTGGTTTAGTAACACTTTAAGTGGACAAAGCTCTTCTGAACACCAGCAGGTGTCCCCTTTAGCCTAGACCTGCAGCTGACTCTCTAACACCAGTGCAGGGTTAAGTAGCACACAGTCTCTAGGATCCTTTAGGGGTGTCTGAACTCACAAGGCCCAAGAGCAGATGATCACCTTCCTCCATTATACCAGGGCAAATCTTCAGTATATTGCCCTTCAGTCAGCTTTAGCAGAACCCGGGTCTTAGCATTTAGGCCCTCAGGTTGCCCACCTGAGGCCGCACAGCAGTAGTTGCCTCTCCCAGGCTGGAACAATCCTGTCCATGAGAGACCCAGAACTCAGTGTGCTCACTGAATACATACAGTTACCCAGCATGCCATCAGAGCCTTTCTTTCTGGGATAGGCCAGAGCTGTGTCACTATTCATAATGCCATCTCCACAATGCCACACCTATCAACTGAACTCCTCAAGCTTTCTGGAGGCAGAGGGAGCTATCAGGCTAACAAATGAGCAGACCTAACTAGCAGAACACAGCAACATTGATTACAGTGTGCAAGTCGTTCTTTTACCTAACAAAATTGTAACTGCACTGACACAAATTGACAACTAAATTTACCTATCAAAACACACACAAAAACTTATCTTTCTAAACCAAGCACCTACCTAGGAGGGTGCTACATCTACAATATGGCAGTTCATTTGTCATGGGGGTTATATGCCATGTAATTATAGACAGGTAAACTCTAAGCAACATCAGTTATATATTTAGATTACTCCTTTATTAATATGTAGCTATGAAAATACAGTTAGCTTGGGGCATGCATGAATGAAAACCAATTTTGGAATATAATAGTCTTATTGTTTGTAAGAGTCTACGATGGGTTAATACAATTCCAATCTGTGTGGTTTAGTCTCAACAGATTGATCATTTTGTATACTGCATTTTCCTATAGTAGTTTATTTAAGCAATTTTAGTGTCTAAAATATATATTTGTTTCTGGTTGCATATTTGTTTCTTGTAAGCTTGCCTTTTGCACAAAATGTTCAAGTGCACCAACTATACTAACAGAACTGTAGGCAGCTGTATATTATTTTG